TGAATGTGTATCTGCATGAGAAACAGGTTGGACACATGGACCTGTTCTAGAAATGTTAGTGAGTTTGTAAAAACAACCAGAACTCCTGAACTTAAAGTGCCTGTGCAATGCCCACCCACACGCTTCCCATTTTAGATCTTTGATTTTTTTGCTGAAAATGATTACTCGTATCCAAGTAAATTTGAGATATTTCCCGTGCTGTAGCCACGCCCACCTATCCTGAAATGGTCGACTGTTTCCGGATTTCCGACTCTCACCGAAAGTGCGCCACCAAATGCAAAAATATGAGAGGAAGCCATACCCCTGGGCCGTACTTTTATATCACTGTGTCATTCAACGTACAACTGTACTTTTAAACGATATACATTTTTTAATCGGCGTTTCTTTTGTCTATTTTATTTTATTTTTGAGAGAGCGAATTTTAAGAAGTTGTTTTCACAACAAACTTTTATGATGGTTAAACGTTGTGTTGTGGGCGGTTGCAGTAATGCGTATAGTTATAGTTAAGGATTTACATGTTTTGAATCGATCCGAAGGTGCGAAATCGGTGGACGAAAGCCGTGAAAATAACGAGAAAAGGTTGGGGTGGACTTCCTCCTAACAGCGTCATATGCAGTGTCCACTTCACCTCAGATTCTTTTTTTTTTTTGAGTATGTGTTTCAAATGATATGATTTTTTTTGCGATCCTGATTATCACTTTATAGAGACTACCCGTGTTATGTAAAAGGTAGCAGTAATTTTGATAATGACACAAAAACGAAGCGTCTGACAAACAGGAAATTACGCAGCCATCCGGATGTTTTCATTTTCGCAGGCTAAAAGTGTCTGAATTGTTCGGTTATTGGTGTTGAATGTCGAATTCACACCTTTGTTGCCTTTATTTGCAGCTTGATCAGCGTAATAATTTACGGAATAAGAATCCGGGCTTGAGCTGTCAATGTATTTCTTTAATATGATGCCATAATCATGAAAATCACGCTAAATCCACTCTGAATTTGTCTGTATGTGAGTCGCTCTCAATTATTGTTATCCAATTAAACGCCGCCATTCACGCACTTGTCCCCCTCATGACCCGACGTGTTCAACCATTACAACGCGGCAGTCATTTATTTAGTAACTGTGTTTTGTCGTTTTTTTTTAATTATTTCTCTATTTTATAAATCAATAGTGTCTAGTAACCTGATAAATAACAAGACCATTCAGCCGTCAAATTTGATTTTGTCCAATGCCGGAGTCCAGCGACAGTGTACAAACGTG